TAAGCTCGTTCTCAAAACCACTGCTGGCACTTTTGGTTTCTAAATGTTCGCTTGCGCTCTTTTCCTTACTAGATTTGAGCTTATTCATGTACTTCCGCTGTCGCAGTCGATTTAGCTCATTGCGTCGCTCATCATCCAAAAAGGCAAGCAAATCGTCGCTATCTGAATCTTCACTGGCAGTGTCGCTGTTGTCAGTCTTCACCACGCCAACACTATCCTGTGTTGCTTGCTCGTGAACTCGGTGAACTGCTGCTTGGTGTTTGAGCTGCTCTACGGGTAGTTTCCATAGCAGACAGAATTCTGTTCCGGTATCTGGCGGTGGGTCATCCCAGAGATCAGCGGTTTGGTTGCACCTTGAACTAACAGCATGTGCACGACGCACCATACAGCGATCGCGATTCCAACGGTCTATCTCATACTGACGAGCCTCATTCAAGTGCTTCAGAAGGTCGCAATCATCGTCAGACTCATCTGAATTCTCTCGCCCTCGCTTCGTGCTGCCTATCGCCGCTTTATCAAGGCAGCAAAATCGCAAGTGAGCGCTTGGTGGGGCCTATCGCGCAGCAAAGGATCATCCCGCCTTGGTGTCCCCTATTAAAAAAAGGAGACAGCACACCCCATCTTCAACTTGGTAGCCTACACACGACTCGTCTGGGAGGTCGGCTTTAGTACCTGCATGCCTTAGCTTCTCTTGGCACTTGGCTGCTTCAGTGTATGCATTGCATGTCTCGGCTTCTCTGGTGCGGCGCTGTAAGCACGCGTCCATGCTTGCGCGGGTCTAAGTTGGCGTTGTCACCGAAGATCTCCACACTAACAAAAGGACGCACACACACACACACTGAAGCAATAACCTTTCAAGTTGTTAAACATCTTTATTTAGCATTTGACGAAGTACAGCAGCAGTAGTAACACTGGTACTGATGTCATTGATTACAGCTCACGCAACAGCGATAGTGACGGACTTATACGCTAAATATATTTGCTCAACGCACACACAGTGAGCTGATGATACTAACCTTGGTCAATATATCCTTTAGTGGCAGCGACGCGGTGCGCTTGGTCTACTGCTTCGCAGTTATCGCCGCTGACCGCTCAGCCACGTTACCGATACCGGTAAGAACCTCGCTTGCCATCGTTTGTGAGTAAAAACAAAATAATACCGGTATTTGTACCCATTCGTCACCTCGAAACCACGACACAATACACAGTCCTACGAACTGTGAACGTAATAAAAAAAGACTCATCAGACTTCCAACAAAATGCCCCTTCTCCCTTCATACCCCTGTCCACGTGTAGTATGAGCTCTTCATTTACAGATTTGAATTTCAATCACCATATAGAGACTCTGATACGCCAGTGCATCAAGAACACCAGCGACGCCAATGTAGCGGGTAACATCCCTCTTACTGGCAGCAATTGGCCTCTGCGTACCTTCCGAGGTCAATGGCTCCGCGGTGCAAACACCGGGGGTTTTAAGCCATGGTGGGC